TATTTTACTCAGCGGAATGATATAGGAAAATAAAGTTTGAGGTCTGGAAGTTTGCATAGTTAGAATTTACAAAGATAGCGAATATGTAAATTTAAATGGTCTTTTATATTATAATCTCTGAGCACTCTGCAGCATTAAGAAAAAATTATTTCCCCCGCTGCCTGATTATTTTTCATTATTATGTTGCGGGGAAGATTTTTTTACTGTATGAGTCTGTGGTGGATCTCTAAAATACATTGCATCTTAATACAGCAGTTGTATTTTGTGCACACAAAAGCAGAGAAGATAAAGGTTAGACTCTAATTATCAAATTTCTTACTTGAAATTTTTCCTGTTCCTAAGCCCGTTTCTCAGCCAGACACAGGCTCCAGAAGAGGCTGTTGTTTCGGAGGGGCTCTGGATTAGCCTTGAGGGTGTTCTGTCTGGCAACGTGCCTCCTGGACTACAGGCTCAAAGATGTGCAGCCAGGTAAACTGAGGTCACTTCTGGTGGTGGGGTGGTGGTGTGCCTTGGTCCTGTACCACAGTTTGAGGTCAAACAAATACGAGTTCAAACACTGCAGGACCCTTGTGCTGATGATTTTGTGCCTACCAGCACTTCATAACAGCGTAGGGTATTTTTCTAAACAGACAACATATAGCTACAGTGAAAAACTGGAAACTTTTTTTTCAAAGGAAAGGCATGAGATAGGTCTGGATTATTTGGAAATGGTATTACCTGGATACTTACTTTAGAATTATTGGCAGAGAAATAGCTAACTGGAATTTTTTTCCAAGTGCTTTGATAATTTAGGAGCAAAAATTTTATTCCCAAATGAATGGGATTTGTGCTTCTAAATGCTTTTAAAAAACAATTTATAAATTGTCATCATTACATTTCACAGCTAGAACCTCACTGAGATTAGCAGGTAGCGCAAAATTCTCAAAATAAATGTTTCAGAGTGATTCATATCACTGAATCAGTGGCAGTCATGTCACCTTTTCAAGATAAATTTTCACAGCTTTAAGAGTTAGAAACAGCTTTTTTAAAATAAGCTCGCCTTAGCTGAGTTGTCAATATGGCAACAGCGAGAGCAAACACTAATCCCCTTGAAACAGGAACTCTCCTAGAATCTCCAGAACTGCTGAAAATGACTGAATAGTTTGAAACAGCAGCAAATTCTACGATGGAGAACACACAACATAGATTCAAATTACAGAGCCCTGTTAAAAAATGCCACCAGTTGATGCTCAGCGGCATTTTTACAGCCCATCATTCGCCTGTACAAAAGCTGTGGTCAAAATATCATTACTTACATTGAGAGGATGATTTGAAAACAGTCTCTTTTAATGTACACTGAAAAAGAATGTTCAAATGTTACACAAACTGACATAGAGGTGCATTTAGAAGTGTTAGAAATGGGTTTTAGTTTTCATTTGGGGGATGAAAGCAGCAATATCTTCTTGTTATTTTGGGTTCTACAGCTGCAGGTTTTGTTTACACGCCCTTAGCTAGCTATAGAAGTAATTCCCGGTAAAAGGTTTAGTGGAGTACCAGTCCCAAGCGTGGAACTGAGTGCCAACCTGCTATCAGTATTTCACAAAATTTGTATTTGGTACTTAGCTATCAAGAAATTGCTCTCTCACATTACACACAGATTATGTTGAACAGGTTACAGTCACAAGAAAAGCAAGAACAGACTTTGGATAAGCACAAGCAGATAATGTTACATACAATAATGAAAAAGTTTGGGTTTTTTTAAACATCTTTAGGCATGCACATGTTTGGGTTTTTTTGTTTGCTCATTTTCCCCCAAAGTGCAGGAAATACTGCAGTACCTTCTTGAAAGCAGCACATTTTTCACTAATCTTAACCACAAAAAGCACGTAATTTATGTCTGGATTCTTTTGATTATTCCGCATTATCTGAGATAGAGTAATATTGCACTCTTCATTTAAGTATACAGATGTGGCCAAAAGGTATTATATCTGAGAGAAGTACAGTGAACATAGGCATCCTGGTAATCTAAATAACATTACCAGAGAATCACAACACAATTTAGTTCTAGGTTTTTTTCCCAAACTCATACAGATGAATCTTCATTAATATCCCTGGGTTTGAATATGGTCATAGTACAAGTGAAAACTCTTATCCAAACTAATCCACAGTCTTTTCAGTTTTTACTGGAAAGAGCTTGATGTCCTTTAAATCTGAAAGGATGCTAAATACCAAAGGAACATAACTGAGGGGGTTTTGTTTTGGTTTGTTTTTTTTAATGTAGAAGAGTTGGGTTAAATCCATATGTTAAATCCACAACCACCTTTGGCTAAAGCTCTCCCTCTCCCTGGGCAGTCCCTTCTAGGTACATATCTCCCGATGCAGAATTTGCTGAACACGTAACAGGAATTTTTAGTCTTTTAGGTAAGCTCGCTGCTTTCCCCTTCTGCCTGGACTCTGGTCAGTTCGTAGCTCCTAGTCAGAACACTTACAACAGAAAGCAATGGCACAGACACCACTTCCATTGTGGTAAGTTCTCTCCCCTATTTCTTCTCCGTTTTCCATTTTCAAATAACTGAGTCAGACATCAGAGCCCCTCTACTGCTCTTTAAAAATGCAGGGCCAGAAGGAAAATAACGTGGTTTTGCAACGCATTATGAAGAGACCTTTACTACAAGATTCTGCAAGGAAAACACGATCCTCAGGTATAAAACATTTTTTGCCATAACACTATAAAAAATTGTCGTGTAATCCTATTACTGGAGGTTCCTAGGAAATTAGTCTTTTCCTCTTTTCTTCCCTCCATAACCTTTCAACTGATGGAGGGGTAATTTTAAAGACATGAGACCTTAATGTTTCATGAAAACAGGAGTCAAGCAGAGAAGAGAGACCTTATTACTCGTCCCTGCATATACATGTAACGCTTTTTCAGAGTCCAGCGACTCCAACCACAAGATCTGATCCATTGGAACCGGTGTTTCCTTAGCTTTATTGCTCACAGGACTACTTGCTTAACTTTGTAAGCAAGCATTGCTAGAGAGTGTTGTACTGTTTTATTAAATTATATGTAATGTTGGCTACCCTGTGCTTTCTGTGGCATTTGACCACCTTAAAATGAATTTGTAGCCTGATCTCATTCTGACCTGAACGTCAAATTCACAAAGCTTGTGAACTGAAATAATTAATTTTAGAAGCTGAAATGTTCTCAAATGCAATGGGTTTGAAGCAGTCTGAATCGCTAACAGGATTTCATTCAAAGATGACATTGTTTCATTAATCAACTTGTTTGCATTTAAACATGGGTTTGGCTTATTCGTCCTCACTTTTTGTACAAATTGTTTCCCAAATAATGCAAACAAGATTGGTAACAGTGAATAACTATTCCATGTCTGTCTGGAAAGCTGGGAGGATTCTAAGTGTTTATAGAGTACCATTTCAGTCCATTTATTTCTTACATCTTCTATTAGTATTTCCTTCCTGAACTTCCACTTAAGATGACCACAAGCCTTTTCCTTCTTCAAGGAAAATAGTATACCAAACTTTAACATTATTAGGTCTGAATGTCTCATGATCAATAACATATGGAAGTTATCTAATAGCAGTCGTCTCTGACTAATTTTCACTGAGGCTATGCAAAGTACTTTGAGTAATACTGATTCTAATGTAGCTGTCAGTACTGCTGCAAATCTCCTAAACTCTGTATTTAACAGTGACATGTCCCTATGTGATGAAAAATCACCTTTATCTTTCCTAGCCTTTAAAACAGCATTATCAGCTTCCTTCAGAGTATCTGCTAAAGGCTTGAAGTCCAGAAAATAACATATAAGATCAGTTAATTTGGGGAGAAAGTGATCTTTTAGTGCTTTATATAACTTGATCAGGAGTTTCTCTGGATCAGGTCCTCTACTTGATTTGGTGCCCTCAGATTCTCCCTTCAGACGCTGAGCTTTAACTTGGACTCTAACTTCTCTGACACGAGTCCTCAGAAGGTAATGTATTTTTCTGTTTTGTTTTCTAGTAGCTATTATAATACGGTTTTCTCTTTGACTTCTTGCCTTATACGCTGTAACAGCGTGTCTTTTCTTCTCTGTCTCGCTGTATTTTTGTCTACGTTGATACAAAATACACACTATTTTTTCTGACACTAGAGCGTGTAGTAGACACCCTAGGAATAGAAGCTTATTCAACATTTTCTTTGCATCTGTATTTTTATACACCTCAAGATTTTTTATTTCAGAGATAAGAAATCTGGGTTCTGCATTTGCTCCCCTTCCAATTCCTGAAGTTCTCTCAATTAACTGTCTCTTCAATACAACCTTATAAATCCCACATAATGAGCCGCTAGGTAACGTGCCATTATGGAAAGATATCTGATTTTTGCTGGTTTCAACCTCCAGTGCTAGAAACGAGTTGAAAAGAAAATTGTTCAGTTCACATTTTCTATGTCTCTGACTAACCAGACAGTCTCTTTGTGTTGTCAAGGCAGAAAGAGAGACAGACCATGTCATCTGGCCTCTCTTTGTCTGAGTAAGAGAATCCTGTGCGGAACCAGATAGTGATATATAATATACTGTTGGTGTGATCAACAAATGGTTATATGAGTAAAACAAATAAATCTTTAGCAAGGGCAGCACTTGTTCAGCCAAGACACCTGGCTGGATAATATTTTGTGTCAGGAATGGACCTGATGAATAAAATTCCTGACTTCTAGTATCTGAAATATCAACTGGAAAATGTAAGGTAAGGTTTAAATCTCCCTCAGTAGTGAGATTTTCAGAAGGCAGCAAGACAAAAATAAAACCATTGAGGAAGGTGTCTTGCTTAATATTAGGGACGTATACCAAACAAAGGGTAAATACTCTGCCTAGTAAACTTCTTTTAACCATTACCAATCTCTTTTCTTAATATTTTCTTTTAATTTGAATTAAAATCTTGTGCCAGGAAGCTGGCCAATACACTAGCAGTAGTACCTCATCCTTGTGTTGTCTTACTATTAAAAAAAAAACCAAACCAGTATTAGCTGGAGAAAGGTACTTTTTTTTTCCGCTACATCTGGTAAGTGTATCTGAAACAAGCCAAATTCTGGACATGTATCACAGGTACAGATTTTGAAACTATTGAATCAAGACAGTCCTCAACTCCTCTGGGGCAATCCTGTGAAAAAGGACAATCCTGTCAAAAATTCATAGTACTACCTCATGCTAAAAACCCCTATGATTATCTCATATTCTCTGTACAGTGAAAAAAAGATTATTTCCTATTTCCCATGCAGTAAAAACCAAAATTAGCTCATGCTTCTACCTGTGCATTATTGAAAAGAGTAACTTGTCATGAAAATCTCACAAAATTCAAAGATAAATTGTAGTGATTATAGTGATTTCTGTATAATTTGATACACCTTTAAAAATACATAGAAACTCTAATAAGTGCAACTATTTCTCTTTATGTCTTAGTTGCAGTCTTCTCCAACACATAAGTAAGCCTCCTATTTCAGTCTACTTTCTTCTCTCATCTTGCTTACCACATCATCCTCTACAACTACTGTATTCTTAGGGTTGCTCTGCATGTTGTTTTCCCACCATTCTTCCACTCTAATGCTTTACTCTGTTATTATTTCTGAAAAAGAAACAAAACACATGCCTTTAATGAAAAAAACCTTCCTCCCCTGCCTTCCTTATGGAGTCAAATCATTTAACTTTAAATGTACTCACTGTTGCAGCCATTGCTGCTTGTAGTCTCAACCAGGTTGGCACCACACTCTGAAGTACTCGTCCTTGAAACGGAAGCTTTCCTGACCAGAAGAAACAAAAAAGAGACAACAGGGAGAAAAAAAACCCACACAGAGTGAAAAAAGTTATCAGAGAAGAGACAAAGTAATTGAATGATGCTTCCACTGAAAGAAGTTACATGGATCTTCTGCAATTACTTTCTAATTGATACTCAACATTTTTGAGAAGCATGTATTTGAGGGAGAAGAACAAAAATCAGAGGCAGAAACAGCACTCAGAACTACATGGCTTCTCTCCTGAAGTTAATGTTCCTGTTTGTCTGATTTCTCAGGTCTTTATTTAAGCAATTAGTAGATACCACAAAATTATTTAATTTATCATTAACTCTCTTAACGTTTGGAAGTGCAATATCAATAATGTGGTATTTTCCACACTTTCTTGA